TTCCTAGAGGAAAAAAAAATTTCATAATGATAAAAAGGTCAATACACAAAAAAATATAACAAATATTAATTTATATGCATCTAGTAATCAATTCAAAAATATATGAAGCAAAATTGACAGGACTAAGAAGAGATATAGACAAATCTGTTGGAAGAACAGCAAATAAAAATATTAGTAAGGATATGGAAAATTTTATTTTATTTTATTTTTTTGAGATGGTCTCACTCTATTGCCCTGGCTAGAGTGCAGTGGTGTCACTGCCACCTCAAACTCCTGGGCTTGAGCAATCCTCCTGCCTCAGCCTGCTAACTAGCTGAGACTACAGGTGTGCACCACTACATCCAGCTAATTTTTTTTCTATTTTTTTGTAGAGACGGGGTCTTGAACTCCTGATCTCAAGTGATCCTCCTGCCTCGGCCTCCCGAAGTGCTAGGATTACAGGTGTGCCCACTGGGACACAGAAAATTTTAAACAAGACTATTAACAAACTTGAATCAAACTGCAACTAATAATTGTAGAGTATATCTTCTTTTCATGTAAACATGTAACATTTCTAAAATTGACCATGTGCTGGAATCATAAAGAAAATCTCCACAAATATCAAAGGGATGAAATAATACAAAGTAAGTTTAGTACTATAGTAGAATTAAGGTAGAAATTGATAACAGAAAGATAACTTAAAATCTTCAAATATTTGGAAATTAAGCCATACATTTTTGAGTAGCCCATAGATGAAAGAAGAAATTACGTGACATCAGACAAGATTCCGAATGAGATAGCAATATATTATGACACATCAAAACTTGGGGGATGAGGCTAAAGTCAGGCTTAGAGGGACAATTATGGTCTAAAATGCGTATATTTGAAATAAGGAAAGGCTGAAAATAACTCCTTTATTTGAATAATTCCATTTAAAATGTAAAAATGTAAGTCACAAAGTAGGATATTTTAAATACAAATATCCCACGATGATGTAAAAAAAAAAAAAATCCCAATTTTAGTAGGAAAAATAGGCCACGTGTGTTGGCACACGCCTGTAGCCCCAGCTACTTGGGAGGCTGAGGCAGGAGGATCATTTGAGCCCAGGAGTTCAAGGCCGCAGTGAGCTATGATTGTGCCACTGCACTCCCGGCTTAGCAACAGAGTGAGACCATGTCTCTAAAAAAAAAAAAGAAAAAGCACAACAGAAAATGGGCTAAAGGAAAAATCATAAAAGATACTCAAAAGGCCACTATACAACCTCATTCATAATGAGGAAAATAAAAATTAAAATCACAATATAAGGCATAAGATATACCTTATGACCACTAAAATGGCTAAAATTAACAGTTATTTTTGCATGTTGGCAAGGATGTGGAGACACCGTGACTTTCGTTCATTGTTGGTGGGAACGTAAATTGTTACAACTTGAGAAAACTGTTTGGTATTAACTACTGAAGCTAACCACGTGCCCAGACTAAGATCCAGTAATTCTACTCCTTTGTATATGCCTACCAGAGATGGGCATATTTTTCACCAAAGACATGTAGCAGCACCATTCTTAACAGCTGAAAAGTGTTAAGAAACAACATAAATGTCCATTAACATTAGAATGAATAAATCTATTGTAATATATTAATTAACACTGTCAAGTAATGAAAATGAATGAACCCGACACGCAGCACAGTGAATGAATCTCAGAAATACCGCTGAGCAAAAGCAGCACAAGAAGCCAGACACAAAAGAGTGAATACTGTAAGATTCCATTTACAAAAAGTTTTTAAAAAGTGATAGACATCTATGGTGATGGAAGTAAGAATAGTGGTTAACTTTAACAGGATGGTGACTGGGAGAGGTCCCAGGAGGGAGGTTCTGAGGCGCTGGTAATGGTGGTTACATGGGTGTGCCACTTTGTGAATATTTATTGAACGGTAACTTCATTATTTGTGCACTTTTTTCTATTACGGTATATTTCTATAACATGATATACACTTCTGTAACATGATGCTTAACAATAACAACAACAGGCTGGGCGCGGTGGCTCACGCCTGTAATCCTAGCTCTCTGGGAGGCTGAGGCGGGCAGATTGTTTGAGCTCAGGAGTTCGAGACCAGCCTGAGCAAGAGCGAGACCCCCGCCTCTACTAAAATTAGAAAGAAATTAATCGGCCAACTAAAAATATTAGGAAAAATTAGCCGGGCATGGTGGTGCATGCCTGTAGTCCCAGCTACTCGGGAGGCTGAGGCAGGAGGATCGCTTGAGCCCAGGAGTTTGAGGTTGCTGTGAGCTAAGATGACACCACGGCGCTCTAGCCCGGGCAACACAGTGAGACTCTGTCTCAAAAAAAAAAAAAAAAAAAAAAACAACAACAACAACAAAATTTTGAGTATAACTCACCAATTCATTTCGTTCATCTCCAAGCAAGGTATTCCTGTCTTCCAGTTTTCTTATAGTGGCATTCAGTTCAGCTATTCTCTTTTGATTTCTTCGCAAATCCTACACATGAAAATTAAAATGGATAAATCTTCAGTAACACTTTTCACAACGTTTTGGAATACCACTCATTACTCATAAAAGTAATAGGCTCAGTTCTATTTATCTGGCCCATGAAGTGAGAGTAAAATGTTCTCTTATTCAGAGAAGAGTAAATTTTACCCTTTTATAACTCCCAGTAATCACCACTTGGTTGGAGACCAAGCCTGGTTGAAAATGCAAATGAATTCCATGTGGCAGATACTCCCTGGAGCCAGGATTTAGGGCAGGGGGGATGCAGAAGGTGGGATTAGCTTATCAGAGCTGTGTGCCGTGAGACCAAGGTCACGTTGTGATTACACAGGGTTCAGGGAGCACCCTTGTGTCATGGCTGCACGTTGCTTCCCACAGCTCAGACAGCTGTCTGGCTATTATACTTAGCCACAGAGGGAACAGAGTAGGAGGTAGGGATGGGCTTTGTAAATTCTTGCATTCTCCCGAAGAAAAAGGTCAGAGTGAGAAAAGGCTGGTGCATAACCTTCATGTTAAAAAGCAGAAATTTATAGGCTAGCTCTCACTAGTATATTTTGCCCAGTGCGACCAGCTTGCCCGTTGGCAGAATTGCCATGAATCACCTTACACACAGCAGTCATGGCTTAATTCTCTGCTGTAGAGTGCATAGGGCTGTTATTATCATATGCTTGCAATTCTGTTATCATCTTACATTTTGTTAGTGCTGTACTGTTGACAAAGCAATTTCACAGACATTATAACCTTAGGTTCACAATATCCTAGAGGATTCAGCAAAGCAGGTAAAATTCAGGTAGTTCATAACTCGATCAAGATCTTGTGGCTTAATATCAATAGATCAATAACTAATATGTATTGAATGCTAACTATGTGCCAGACACTATACTCAACATTTTAAATATCATTTCTTCTAGTCCTTAGACCAGCCTTGTGGAGTACTACTACAGCCTCTATTTTACATATGAGGGAGCTGAGTGGTAAAGTGGTTTGCCTAAGGTCACACAATAAATCGCAGATCCAGGATTTGAACCAAAAGGTCTAACACCAGAGACTGTTCTCTTGACAATTACGTTATATTGCAGGTGCATGCCAGTGACAGGACTTACATCTGCTAAATCCTAGATCAGTATTCATCCCACCACCTACTAGGATATATATATCCTGAATACTGATTCATAAATTATTCATTACTTAGCTCTAAGTAGTACTTTGGAACCCATCTCTGTTCCTAAATAATACATTTTCATCATTATAGCAGCTAAATAATTTGAAAGGTATAATATGTATAGCCAACTACATGCAAGCCAATTTCTATCACTGCACTGCTGAAAATAGTTTCTCATATAAAATGATGAAAATCCAGGAAAATAAGTGGCAAGTGCAACCAGACTAGAAGCTTTCAGATGAAGATTATAAAATGGTTTCAGCTTTTATACAGTTATACATTTTGACCCCTGAAGATGATAACCATTTTTACCAATTCCCAACCCAATTGTTCACAAAAGGGAAATTTACCAATCTTGGCAAGAGGAAAATAGTTTCATCTAATTTATGGTTTTTATAACAGACTTAAATTTGGATAGTTATCATCTGGCTAGAAAAGTTCTATAAAGGATTTAAAGAAATCTGTAATTCTCATGTGATCTGCTAATGCAGTACAGACCACTTTGTTGTCTGAGTTTACAAAAACCTGTTCCCAAGATACTAGCTGGTGTTATAGTAGGAGGTAGAATTGATTTCTTCGCAGTAAACAGGAAAAGAGCTTAAGTGAAAAGTAAAACTTGGGAACTAAATAAAAGATGACTGATGGGTTCTCAACTTCAGCTGGAATGGACTTACAGGACTGCTGCAGTGTTCAGAGCCATCTCCAGCCCTTCCTGGAATTTCTCGTTTTGGGCTGCTCATGTTACACTCGGCCTCCTTGACCAGAAAGAGTTGTTCGTCCAAAGCCTCCTTCTGCAGTTGGAGTTTCTGTACATAGCCTGTTTGGGTCTCCAGTTCCTTTTCCAGGGAAAAGATGATCCTGTCCTTGGCTTTGATTTCATCCATCTGAATTAAATGAGACCCAGGACATTTTATTTAACAATGCTGTAAAGAATTGTATTTTTACTATGATATGAGTTTAACTTCTTTCCTCTGATTGCTATATTAAAAAAATCATTACTATGACAACTGTACTAAGTGTATTGGTTTCAGAATAAGATAAGGCAACTTTGTATGATGAAGGGTTATCCTAGGTTAATAAGATATCAAGGAGAGTAATTTTTCTCTCTAGTATATCCTGTGTAGATGTTTTGACTTAATATATTGTTTGAAATGGTCTGGGGTTGGTTAGATACGGAAAGGAAAGGAAAACTTTGAAATGGGTCATTAATCTTAACAAAGACAAATACTAAACATCCCACTGTAGTGTTTCCCTGGAACAAATTTTGACGTTACCTCCTCTTTGGGGAATTGGGCATTCAAGTTCAACCCAAATAGCAGTTGCTACTATAGGTAGGTCATTTGCAACTGAAGAAACTACAGACCTCCAGTGGCCTAGTCATTTCCGAAGACTAACATGCTTGCGTTCAGGTGGTGAATTTGGAGGGAGGTCCCTCCATGGTTCATGTGTTATGGCTCTTTCCATTCCTATGTGTATTTCAGAGCAGCCAGTTCTTAGGAATCATTTTACCATTGTTCTCAGAAAATCATTGTTGGGACTAGAACAGGGATGGAAAATACCTGGTAATATTAGCCACTATATCCCCCCTACACATCTGTGGGATATATTTACTGAT